AATAAAATTCCAAAAGTTTGGACATAAGCACCAAAAGGATGGAGCTATTAAACAAGATAGGAGAGATTTTAGGAAAGCACAGGTCCTGAATAGGGAGATTCTCAGGAAGACAGTTTGGGACAGGTTAAGTTTGAGATGCCTACTAAGCATCTAAGTAGAAAAATCTAGAGTAATCAATTATATATATGTATATGTGTATATGTATTATATATGTATGCATATATGTGTTTATATGTTTAAATACATGTTTATGTAAGTATATATGTGCATACATAATCTATAAATACTTTATAAGATATTCTATTTATAGTCTATAGAATAGCTAAAACAAAAAATAATGATAATACCAAATGCTGGCAACCAGGCAGAGAATGGAATCACTTACACACTGCTGCTATTAGCCCCAAGATGAAGACATAAATTTAAGTTCTCAGTACATAGTTGATATTTACAAGTGTCTGTCAGATGAGATGACCAAGGGAGTAAAAGCATAGGAAAGAGAATAAGCCCAAGTACTAAGGTTTTAGACATGCCAACAATAAAAGGCCGGGATATGAGATGAAACAGAGGAGACTAAGAATACGAACGTAGTGAGAAAGCCAGAAGAGTATACTGTCCTTTGACAAGAGAAGAACTTTATAGGGAAAAGTTAAGAAAACATTAATAACCACCTTGCTGAATTGTTAGGAGGCACTTAACCCAGTGCCAATAACATAGCTGGACCTCAATCCACGTTAATTTGAGTCTCCCTCAATTTATACTATTTACGTTTTTGCTGATTTTTTTCTGCTTGTCTAGTATCTGTTCTAACAAAGTCATTTATGAGAAAAACTACCAAAAAGACAGTATATTTAAGATGGCTCTCAATTTGCTATCAGTAAGCAAGTTTAGCCGGGGATTTAGCTCAGTGGTTCTGCCGCCTGCCTTGCAAGTCCCGAATTAGATCCCCGGTACCAAAAAAAAAAAAGCAAGTTTAGCAAGCAATGAAACTGAACTAGACAATTTAGTTCTAGTATAGTAACAACTTCTATTGTTTTATTAGTTTACTTATTCAACTGTGAAATCTTGGGCTCCAGGAATATCTAAATATAACCCAACTCTGTTTATTCACTCAAAATTAATACAGTAGATTACAGAACCCAGAACTAGACCCATATTAATATGTCTGAGTGACTAATTATCAACAAAAAGGCAAAAGCAATTCAAGGATGGATGGCCTTTTCAACAAATGGTCCAGAGCAACTGGACATCTATGGGGAAAACAATTAACTCTGACCTAAGCCTTATAAAAAACTGAACTCAAAATGGATCACAGACCTAAATGTAAAATAAAAATTTTAGGAAAAAATAAAAGAAAGTCTTTAAGATCTAGGACTAAGGCTGAGAAAGCTTTTAGAGCTTTCAGTGATACAAACAGCCCACTGTGACATGCTTGCTATAGGTTCGCCACCACTGGATTATGGGTGCACAATTCATAAAGAAAAAAATTGATAAATTGCATTTTATCAAAATTTAAGATGTTTGCTATATGAGAAAAGCTCTGGGAAAATACTGAAATGACAAGTAAAAACTAGGAGAAAATATTTGGAAACCACATATCTAACCAAAGACTCATATCTACAAAATAGTTTTTAATATTTGACAGAAAAAATATTTAAACACAATCAATCCAATTCAATCAGGCAATTTACCAAAAGGCAAATTAGTACAAGAAAATATGTTCAATTTCATTAGTCATTAGAGAAATGTAAATCAAAACATACTTATCAAAATGGCTCAAATGAGAAAGGGAACAAGGGAGGGGGGGAAGGAAAAAGGGACAAGAAAAAAAGAGAATAGAAGGAAAAATGGAAACAGCCTTTTGTAAATAAGGAAAGAAGGAGGGGTAGAAAGGGGGGTGGGAATGGGAAAAATAAGAAGCAAGATATATCATACACAGGTACAAATTCCCTATAATGAATGTTGTATCATTATGTAAACCTAAAATGTACCAATAATATTTTTTTCCTTGAAAAAAACCAAAATGGCTAAAATTAAAAATAGTAGTAGCATTAAACCATGGTAAGGATGACAAGAAACTATATTGCTCGTACACTACTAAATGAGAATGTGAAATGCTACAGCTACTCTGGAAAACAGTATGGCAGTTCCTTAAAAAACAAAACTTGCCATGTCTAAGGCCCTAGATTCAATACACAGAACTGCAAAAGACAGAAAGGAAAAGAGGTTGGAAGGTAAGCAGAGGAAGGATGGAAGGAAAGAAGGAAGGGAAAGAGGGAGAGACAGACAGATAGATGGAGGACAGATGAATGAATGAATGAACTGACTTACCATAAGACCCAGAAACTGTACTTGTGGGCATTTATTCTAGAGAAATAAAAAAGTTCACAGGGTACAAAGAGCACAAAATAAAGGATAGATAGGAGGAGACAAGGACATAGATCTCTGGCAAATGGGAAGGGTCCTGGAGACCAAGGGTGAGAGGAGAGGGAGAAGGGAGTGGGGAAATAAGCAGAACAAAAGATATGCCATGTACAGGAACTTAACAACTTCAATGAATGTAAACATTTTATGTCATAAATATGAGATACGATTAATAATATCAACAGGAACAAAAATGGGGAAAGGGGATTTGGAGGAGGAGGGAGTAAGGCAAGAAAGAAGGGGAAAGGGATTAAAAAAGAATCAAGCTGTATTATGTACATGTACCCACTCCCCAACATGATTGTAAACTGCATGTACTGATAACATGTGCTAATAAAAAAAATTCACAGGTTGTTTAACCATTGACTTTGGAGTATATGCAAATATTCATTGTATCTTTATTCATAACAGTCAGAAACTAGAAAACAACCCGAAGTTATTCAACAACTGAATGGTTAAATATTGGTACATTCATATCATGGAATACTATACAGCAATAAAAAGAACAACTTTTAAAATACACAACAACTTGGACAGATCTCAAGGGAATTAGGCTAAGAGGAAAAAAAATTCCAAAAGGTAGCAAATTATATGATTCCATTTATATAACATTTTTAAATAAAAGAATTACAGAGATAGAAACCAAATTAGTTGACTGGTTAGAGGAGACTGGGGTTGTGGGTGGGGAGGACTGTGGGTGTGGCTACAGAAGGATAGCTCCAGTCTGTGGTAATAGAACAGTTCTGTATGCAGTCTGCAAAGCTACCTACACAAATCTACAAGAAGAAAACTTTTAGAGAAATACACACACAGGTACGGTATTGATACAATGGTGAAATATGAATAAACTTTACACAATGTACAAATGTCATATTCCTAGTTTTGGTATTGTACTACAGTCACACAAGTAATTATTTTTTTGGAAAATACACAAAAGGTACCTAGGAAAACTCTACATGTTTCTTGTTTTGTTTATAATTTGCTGTGAATTTATAAGTTTTAAGAATAAAAAATAAAATATTACCAATATTGTGACTTTTCAAGCCATTTTCATAAAATGTCATTTGTATAGAGCACTTGTATAATCAGGGAAGAAAGTGGTGTTCTAACACTAAAAGCTTTTTTAAAAATTCCATTAGAATACCTCCATTTCTAGGTACTCAATATGACGCAAGAAGGGGTAACCATGCTTTACCATCTCCTAAAGTAAACGATACATGGATGAAACATCGCTGAGAAGATATGAGAGCCTAACGAACCATGCTACAGTAACAAAAACCTATAAACTAGGGCCCATGGACAATATGGACCACAGCCTGTTTTGTTGTGGCCCACAAATGAGAAGTGTACAGTAACTCTTTTATTTTGCTTTGTTTTATGGTACTAGGTATTGAACTCCAGGCATCATGCACGCCAGGCAAGCAGTCTCCCACTGAACCACATCCCCACACCCAACCCTTTTTTTTAAAATTTTGAGATAGTATCTTACTAAATTGCCTTAGACTGGCCTTGAATTTGTGATCCTTTTGTCTCAGCTTCCTGAGTTGCTAGGATTACAGGCATGCTGTACCACACCCAGCATGCCTACTCTTTAAAGCAGTGTTTTTTAAAAATAGAAATGTATGACAAAGACATAATGCAATAGTCCCACTTTATCTGCAGTTTACCTTTTCTAAGATTTCAGTTACTTGTGGTTAACCACAGTCCAAAAATATTAAATAGAAAATTCCAGAAGTAAATATGTTTTAAATTATACACCATTCTAAGCAATGTGATGAAGTTTTATAGTGTCTTGCTTTGACCTGCTCTATCCTTCCAAAAATGAAGGATCCTTTTGAATTGTCTTTGGCCAGTACAACCTTGTTGCACGTTCTACCCACCATTGTATATGCTACCCACCAGTTAGCCAATTAGTACCTGATCCCAATTTTCAGATCAACACTCAAGGTACAGCAATGTTTGTGTTCGGATATCCCTTCTTTTACTTAATAATGACCCCAAAGAGCAAGCATAGTGATGTGGCAATTTTATTACAGCATACTGTTATAATTTTCTATTTCATAATTAGGCATCTTATTAACCTCCCACTATACCTAAATTTATAAGTAAAACTTTATCATAGATACTTATGTATAGGAAAAAACAAAGCATATACAGAGTTTGGTATTGTATGCAGTTTTCAACATATACCAGAGGTTTTAAAATGTAACACCTGTAGCCAGGGATTTAGCTCAGTGGTTCCACTGCCTGCCTCACAAGCGCAAGGACCTGAGTTCAATCCCTGGCAGAAAAAAAAAAAAAAAAAAAAGTAACACCTGTCAATAAGGGAGGACTATTACTGCTATTATTTGGTCCTTTTAGAAAAGGTTTACCAAGCCTTGTTTTATAGTATTTCTCAATAAATTACATGACAACCTTAGAAATCAAAAACAGAATTTTGAAAAATCCTTCCCTTCCTTACATCATCCATTTGCCCTCTGACAGAGAAGTCTTCAGTTTGTTTGTGTATTCCTCATTCCCAGATGCTCTGCTTAGTAAAAATGTTGTCTCAAGGCATTAGGTTTGGCATAGCTTACCAGTGGGAGTGCTGTCTTCAGGGAGCCCAGTGTCCTGAATGAACTTCTAAAATCATGCCCCCATTCAGAAATACAGTGAGCCTCATCCACAGCAATCAGTGTGATACCTATTAAAAAACAAATAAATGGAAAAAGCTCAAATGGGGGGGGAACTTACCTAAATCAATACTGTTTTCTTCATTTAGAATATATAAAGCTTGCAAAAAATAAATAACCTATGTCAAAGTATTTGATTCACACTAAAATGTAAACATAAGTATGTAACACCAGATAACATCAAAAATCATTACTGGGAATAGAGGAAGCGAAGATAAATGAATAAAAGGCATTAGGCTAAAAAGAAAACATTTATATATTAATTCAAATAATACATTTATTAAATTTCAGAGTTCATCATTATTCCTCGGAGAAATGAACTGCTTGCTAGCACTTTTGCCTCAAAACTACTCTTATGAACCACCTGCAACAATGTCTTTTTTAAAAAGAACAGTTCTATTTCTCTTCAATAATGCCTTCAATCTTAACTCACAGATTAGCGATCAAAACAGGAAAGAGACAGGACATTTCTACAGAGATTAAGTGCATCACTATCCATGACTGATCACATATTATATTAAAGAAAGTGCCTCTCAGAAATGCCAGTATTAGAAGACAGGATGATATCTACAATATCTAATGTAAAGTAGAATGAGAAAAACTAAATCTCACAAGGTACAAAGTAGGTAAGAGGAAGATTATTTGTTCCCCAGCAACCTTTCCACTCTGCCTCACACCATACACATATGCTGAAACAGAATCAAGAGTGTGTTTTCAAGAAATGCATTTTAATAGTGTTCTATTGTTCAATTATCCATTAAAATGTCTTCAGATATTTCAAACTTATGTCTAGTATGCTTCTGTCCTCAATTACCAAATTAAAACAAAATAATTTTTTCCTTTATCTGAGTATTAATATTGTTCTGCCACTAGAGGGGTAACTAAAATCATGTGCTCTGGAGTCAGACTGCCTAGGTGCAAATCTTGCCTCTACCACTTACTGCGTCTAAAACAAGTTACCTAAGTTTTCAAAATCTCAGTTTCTACACAAATAAAATAACAAAAGTACATAACAATTCTTATTACTCTAAAGATTAAATTCAATCATTCAAATAAAATGCTTAGATATGACCTGGCACAGACACCAAAAAAAGAGCTAAATTTTTAAAATATTATACTACTATTATGACAGTTATTAAATGGCCAGTATGACCTAAACCCTTTTCTAGGAATGAGAAGATTAATAAAATAGAATCCTGACCTTGAGGAATTCACAATTACATAAGAGGAGATAGACATGCCAATCAACAATGGCAATTCATTGAGACTATAAACTACATAAAATACAGTTCTAAGACAGCATGGAGGAGGAAGAAAGCAAATAAATTTACTAAACATAAGCAAAGAACATTGACTAGCAACAAAATTCTCTAGTCACTGTTGAGTGGCTGGAAAAACATCACCGTTACCACCACAGTTATTTTTTTTTAGAAACTAAATCACCTAGATTTTAAATTAAATGCTAAAAAAAAAAGATGAGATCCTCTTTTATTTTAAAAGTCTTAGTTGCAGGTTGGACTGAGTAGCTTTCAAAAGAGCTTAATTTTATCTATCACAATCAGTTTAGGCAAGCTTTCGTCAACAATGTTCACTATAAAGGTAGAAGTTCAGGTGTTTTTGCAAGACCTGTATGTATTTCATTTTGGCACACTCATCATTCAAGTCTAATTTTCAAAGTGAAAAAACAACTACAAGTATGGCAGTAAGGAGTGTCTAAATAAAAGTATGTTTGCTATTTCTGTTATAAATCCAGAGTACTTAAATAATTTAAAATTTACCTAAAAATTATAAGTCTAATTAGTCAAGGATCATTCTACTGTACAAATAATATCCTAAGTGCATTCATTTTTGCAAGTGTTTTGCAATTTTTTGCAAACAAAAGCCAATGGAAAATATTTCAAAAGTAATTTCCATTTATCCCTTCTTATCCAACATTAAAAGTCACCACCACCCCCCAATTTTGTTTTGTTTTGTTTTGTTTTTCAAGACAGGGTCTCACTTTGTAGTTCAGGCTGGCCCTGAGCTCACTATGTAGCCCAGGCTGGCCTTGAGCTCGCAGCAATCCTCCTGCCTCAGCCTCCCAAGTGTTAGGATTACAGGCATGTGCCACCACAGCCAGCTACCCTCCATATTTTTTTCATCCATCATAAATTGTGCTCTAATGATTGCAGTGCTCATAATCAATCCATTATTTAAAAATATAAAGAGGTGGGCCTGAGGTTTAGCTCAGTGTTTCTGCCGCCTGCCTCACAAGCGCAAGGTCCCAAGTTCGATCCCCTTTACCAAAATATATATATAAAGGTATAAGTGCTTGTTATGACTTGCATGTTCCCACAAAGCTTCATGCAGTCATAGGTGGGGCTTTTTAAAGGTGGCTGGATCAAGGGTATGTAATGTGGATTAAGGGTGTGTGTATGTGGATTAAGAGTGTTACAACCAAATTAGTCCACTGATTGGCTTAGCATTATTCTAGATGTGGATAACAAGCTCACCCCAGGTGTGGGTAGCACCACCCAAAAGGCTTCTAGCCTAGATGAAATAAAAGGGAAAGGGAGGCTTGCTGCTTTGCTCCTTCCTGTCTACCCTGCCATGGAGTGTTTCTCCTCTGCCATTGCCCTCTGCCATGTGGCCTTGCCTTGGAACCAGTCAACTATAGACTGAAACCTCTACAAACTGTGAGCTGAAATAAACCTTTCCTCCTTTAACTTGTGGGTGTCAGATATTGTATCTCAGCAATAAGAAAAGTAATTAAGATACTGCTTATCAAACATGTTAGATATCTGCTTAAATATTTAAACTAATTATTTATTTGATATCATCACAAAAACAAAACAAACACTAACATGCAACAAAACATACCTAGACCACTATGGCCACAGATCCTAGCTTTTGCAATCAAATCAGGAAATTTATATCTAGGGTAGTTAGGCTTAATCTAAAGTGAAGTATTTAAAAGAAACTTCATGCTAACTAATAGGAACCATATCAAATTCATTTTCCATTAAACACAAAAATATACCTATAAGGGTGTTTAACAACTGAAAGATGTACTCAAATAATATATTTACTCAAATGTTAATTTCGCATTCATTTTTTCCTTTCACCACATACTAAAGGACATGTGTTTTCATTATACTGTTGGAAAAACGGTTAAATATTTTCCCTCTATTGAGTAAAATGTTACAATATTGAAAATCTAAGCTATCTGGAATTAATTTAATACATAATTATTCTAGAAAGTCATACATTCCAGGAAAACTAAGTTTAGTTAGTTCAATTTAAGGTATAAAATATGAGCATGTATGATAAAAGTCATGATTTCAACTCTCAGGAAACCACTAAGAAGAAAATAACAAAAAATTTTACTTATTCCCCCTAAAAGAGCAGCATCAGTCTTTAACTAATTCTACATTTACATTTTCTACAAAATAAACTCTGACTTAGATTAACTACAATGGGGGTTTATGTATTTGTAATCAGTCATATTCATTTGTACCAAAGGAACTGTGGTTCGAAACCCTAGCTACACATCAGAATCACCTGTGAAAAATTACAGATACCAGGCCTACCCAGGCCTGTTACACCAGAATTTTCAAGATTGAAGGCCAGTTTTCTAAGGTGGAAGGGTGATTCTCATGCACAACAAAGATAATGAACCACTACATGGACTCAATTTACATTCAAAATATGAAAAAGCAGTAAATTATAATTTCATAAAATCTAGGATTCAATATTTATTCAATGATATATCTATGTACCTAATTATGTTTCAATTACTGTACTAGGGAAATATACTTAAGAATTGCATTTTCCCCTCAAAAAATATAGTCTAGCTGAAGAAAACAGATATATAAACAAGAAATTAGAACAAAGGAGCCCAATGTGTTTTTTTGGGGGGGGGTACTGGGGATCGAACTCAGGACCTTGCACTTATGAGGCAGGCACACTGCCACTGAGCTAAATTCTCAGCCCAAAGGAGCCCAATTTCTATCACAAAAGAATTATACAATAGTATGAGATAAATCAAGAGAAGCAACAAATTGAAGAGTCAGTGAGATCTCTTGGAGATAAACTAACAAAAGTTAAATCTGTTATTTGTCTACAGATTTAACTCTTAAGAGTAATAATTCAGTAAGTATTTATAAAGATACTATTTTGTTACTTACCAATATTAGCTTCAAGGTGCTGGAGTAGGTCCAAGTTACCTGAACAGAATTCTGGAGTTATGTAAATAATTCGATATTTGCCTCTGTGAAAAACAAACAAAATAAACATAATATATTTTCAAAATAAAAAGAAATGTGCCGTAATAAAGAAAACAATCATCTCAATGAATTAAAACTTCAAATCAAAATACCTAAAAATTTTTAAATGATGCATTATGCCACTTATAAAAAACCTAACTGAATTCTGCATATGTGTTTATATATTCACATATATTAGGTGTCTGATTTCTCTTTAATACATCAAAATAGGTTCCGGTTCCTGGCCACATCACGGGTCGGCCAAGCAGCCTGAGGCTCCTCGGCTGTGTTCCAGTTCCTGCCCACCTCACGGTGAGGTCCCGGGAGTGACTTGGAGCCCCACCTTCATCCAGTGCTCTGCTTAGCCACCTGCAAGGCCCAATTCTATTCCGGCCCCCCCGGACCCGCCCGGGCCTTCCAGCTCTTCTGCTACTTGGTCCCACACTACAGAGGCACAGGGGATCATACTTCACATAGTTAAATGTGATAGATTAATAACTAAAACAAATTGTCAATTTCTAAGCTGCACTTGATGATATGGTATTGCTGATTGTAACATTTGGCCTAACATGTTGT